ACACACACACACACACACACACACACACACACACACACACACACACACACACACACACACACACACGAAGGAAGAGAGGAGGCGGAAACCTCCATCTGCCCTGCTCGGTGACCGACCCGTCATCCTCGGGCTCCGGGAGGAGACGGTTCTTCTTCTCCGCGGGATTCCACCGTGTTTCGTTCGGTTTTATTTTAATAACGCGCACGCGGAGGACACCTGAGGAGAGCCCGCGTGACACCGGGGACATGAAAGGAAAAGGTGGATTAATATGGATGAGATCTATAGTCTATATATAGGCTCTGCCCCGGACTGCACCACCACCAGCTCCAGCAGCAGCGCCGCCTCCGCCGCCGCCACCTGCCCCCTCGGTACCGGTAAGTCACTGAGGATCCCCGCCCTCGTCCCGGGGCGGCTCGGTGCCGGCTGTGCCCGGGTACCGATGCTAACTGACCCGTGAAAAGGACTTCAGAGGTCCTGTGAGGTCGGGTTACCGTTCAGCCATGTTGCGGGAGGAGGGAGGGAGGGAGCGTGGCGCGGAGGTGTGTGATGAGGCGGGGGACGGTCGGGCTCCTGACACCTGCCCTCGTTCCCGGTAACCGGGGACAGCGCGAGGACGGGGTGGGGGGGGGGACAACCCGTCCGAACTGAGCGGTACTGAGCACCGGCAGCATCCCGCAGCCGGAGCCGGCCGGAGCCGGGGGAATGACTTTCTGACTCGGCGTGGCGGGGAGTCTGAGTCGGTTCAGCCATGTTGCGGTAAAGCTAATAGCGGGACCCAGACCCAGACCCAGACCCAGACCCAGACCCAGACCCAGACCCAGACCCAGACCCAGACTGACGGGGGGAGCTGTGTCCGGTGAATTGTTGCTCCCCTGCCGGATGCGTCTGCGGCGGCAGCCCGCATGGTGTCGCCTGGTGACGGGGCGCGGGGCTGAACGGAACCGGGTCGAGGTGGTGAGTACACCGAGTACGACCTGAGTTCGACTGGTTCCTGTCGATTAATCGATTCGTTTGAATCGCTGGAATAAGCACACTGTAGTTCAGAGACTGTTTCACATGTTTAATTGTTTTTACAATATTAGTCTGATTTTTTTTATTATTAAATTTTTTTTATAAATTTAGTT